TACACGAACGACAACAAAGACACCGAGCCTAACCTTAAAGAAGGAAAAGAAAATATAAAGAAGAAGAAATAGAAGAAGAAGAAGAAGAAATAAACAGAAAAAAAGCAAGAATATATAAAGAAAAAGAATAAACAGGTAAGAAAAAAAAACAACGATAAACAGGAAGCAAGAAAGTACAAAATTATTTTTCGAGAATTATGAAGGAAATTAATAATAATAATAAAAAGTAATAAATAAATATATATATTTTTTTTTTCGTAAAATATAGATAAAAATCCGACAAAATAACGAAACTGTAGACCGTTAATAACTTAATTACCGTTATTAACCGTTAATTACCATTAATAACTTAATTACCGTTAATTACAGTTAATTACCGTTATTAACCGTTAATTACTGTTAATAACCTTTAATTACTGTTAATTACCGTTAATAACTTAACCGTTAATTACCTTTAATAGCCGTTAATTACCATCAATAACCGTTAAATAATCTTCTATTAATATCTTCATTAATTCTCAATAAAACTTATTAAAAGGACAAAGGTTTAAAAAAAAAAAATCAAAAATCTTTATTTTTACACATATCTTAGGAAAAAAAAAAAAAAAAAAACAGGTTATGATTATATAACGCCACCATATATATATATATATATATATATATATATATATATATATATATATATATATATATATATATATATTATGTATATATTTCGCAAAAGTTCATTTAAAACGTAAATGCGAGACTTTCGTAAAATATTCCTTTCATTAAACCTTTTAGATCTACATCTCTTTATCATTTATTATTTATTTTCTTTAAACCGAAGTCTCTTTTTTTAAAGTTTTTAGATCGAGATTAATATGAAGGAAATTAATATCATTTTATATTATATTAATGTTATTTTTTAATCTTTAATTTTGATTTAATTTTTAAAATATTATATTAGATAAATGTTGTTTTTTTATATTCATTTTATAATATTAAAAAAAATGTTCCGTCACTGAGTCAGTGCCAAGGGGAGGGTTTGCCACGCTTGTCGGTGCGCCGGCTAAGGCCAGCCGACCCGTGCCGCGCAGGGGGCTCTTGAGGAAAGGGAATTTTTCGTATCTCTAATCTATCTGTCTCTTAAATCTCGGAGGAAAAGGGAATATTTCTTATCTCTAATCTATCTCTTTTAAATCCGGGAGGAAAGGCAGTTTTTCTTATCTCTAATCTATCTGTCTCTTAAATCCGGGAGGATTAGGCAGTTTTTCTTAACTTTAATCTAACTGTCTCTTAAATCCGGGAGGAAAGGCAGTTTTTCTTATCTCTAATCTATCTGTCTCTTAAATCCGGGAGGATTAGGCAGTTTTTCTTAACTTTAATCTAACTGTCTCTTAAATCCGGGAGGAAAGGCAGTTTTTCTTATCTCTAATCTATCTCTCTTAAATCCGGGAGGAAACGCAATTTTTCGTATCTCTAATCTGTCTCTTAAATCCGGGAGGAAAATGGAATATCGTATCTATAATTTATGTGTCTCTTAAATCCTGGAAGAAAATGGAATATCGTATCTCTAATTTATCTATCTCTTAAATCCGGGAGGAAAAGACAGTTTTTCTTATCTCTAATCTATCTGTCTCTTAAATCCGGGAGGAAAAGGCAGTTTTTCTTATCTCTAATCTATCTCTTAAATCCTGGAGGAAAATGGAATATCTCTTATCTCTAATCTATCTCTCTCAAATCCGGGAGGAAAGGCAGTTTTTCTTATCTCTAATCTATCTCTCTTAAATCCGGGAGGAAAAGGGAATATCTCTTATCTCTAATCTATCTCTCTCAAATCCGGGAGGAAAGGCAGTTTTTCTTATCTCTAATCTATCTCTTAAATCCTGGAGAAAAAGGCAGTTTTTCTTATCTCTAATCTATCTGTCTCTTAAATCCGGGAGGAAAGGCAGTTTTTCTTATCTCTAATCTATCTCTTAAATCCGGGAGGAAAAGGGAATATCTTATCTCTAATTTATCTGTCTCTTAAATCTGGGAGGAAAATGGAATATTTCTTATCTCTAATCTATCTCTTAAATCCAGAGGAAAAGGGAATATCTCTTATCCTGGAGAAAAAGGCAGTTTTTCTTAACTTTAATCTATCTGTCTCTTAAATCCAGGAGGAAAGGCAGTTTTTCTTATCTCTAATCTATCTGTCTCTTAAATCCTGGAGGAAACGCAGTTTTTCTTATCTCTAATCTGTCTCTTAAATCCGGGAGGAAAATGGAATATCGTATCTCAAATTTATCTCTAATAAATCCTGGAGGAAACGCAATTTTTCTTATCTCTAATCTATCTCTTAAATCCTGGAGGAAAATGGAATATTGTATCTCTAATCTGTCTCTTAAATCTCGGAGGAAAAGGGAATATCTCTTATCTCTCTCACTCACCCTTCAATAAAAGGCTTTTAGTATATTCATTGTAATATTCAAGTACAGTAATTCCCCAATTTAAGAACATAATGGGGACCGAGAGGCTGTTTGTAAGTCGATTTGTTTGTATGTCGAAAGTCGTGTCTCCATTACCTTTTTTTTTTCCATTGTTTTAGAGCAGTGGTTCCCGAACTTTTTCTGGTCGTTACCCACTTTTCATACATGATCCTTGTCCATGGCCCCCACCCCCAACCATAACCCGTGACTACAGTGACTGTCTACAGTCCTACACTCATTAGGTCCATATAAAAACCACTCTAGCAAATCCTGTAATTTTATTGATTCCATTTGTTATTTTTTCTTTTGTTAAGTATTAAAAAAGAAATTTGTATTTTTCCTTTGCCAAATCTCATATAATTATTGAAATGGTACTGAAGAAGTTATATAATGCACATAAAACAATCTCCATACTTAGAGTAATTAAAAACTGCATTATTAAGGCATTGCACAAACCTGTACTGAACCTGTAAGTTCCCTCCACTGGCTGCTTACCCGCTAAACTCCTTTGATTCTATCTCTACATAGTTTCAGATTATGGCCCCCTACATTCTGCTATATGGCCCCCCAGGGGGCCATGGCCCCCAGTTTGGGAACCACTGTTTTAGAGTCTTGTTTACATTAAGAATAAATCATTAGAAATAACATTAAGAATAAATCATTAGAAATAACATTAAGAATAAATCATTAGAAATAACATTAAGAATAAATCAATAGAAATACCATTAAGAATAAATCATTAGAAATAACATTAAGAATAAATCATTAGAAATACCATTAAGAACACCATTATATACCAAGAATACCAAGATTGCCATTAAGAATAAATACCATTAAGAATAAATAAATAAATAATAAATAAATACCATTAAAAATAAAAATACCGTTAAGAATAAATACCAATAAGTATGACATACCTTATACAGTACCAGACTCTTGAACTATATTCGTGCCCGGGAAATTTTGAAGTTTGCTAGCATCTTTCAAACAATTTTTTGGACTTTAGTACTTTAAAAATTTTGTTTGTATGTATGGAATGTTCATAAGTAGAATGTTCTTAAGTAGGGGACTATCTGTATATTTATTCCGTGTTCATAAGTAGAATGTTCTTAAGTAAGGGACTATCTGTATATTTATTCCGTGTTCATAAGTAGAATGTTCTTAAGTAGGGGACTATCCGTATATCCAATGTAATCATTAGTGAACTTGTCGTGAGATTAACGATTAACGATATAGTGAGATTAATGATTAACCTTGATAACGCGGGATCGGGGATTTGAGTCTCGTTAAAGAACTACAGAAAGGGAGAAATTGTTCCAAAAAGAAATGTTCAATTGCACTTTTAACCCATTCACGCCGGGTGTCACGTATATGTGACGGGCCCACTGTGAGTTTACTTGTTTAATTGTTTTCACACATTGATGGCTGCACTTGTACTTGTGCTGCGTCTCGCCTGTTTACCCTTTTCTTTAATTTACGAAAATATACGTTATCTTATTTTGCTGTTACTAATGTTCATAATATTACAATAATTATAATGTTTATAATAAAAATAACCATCGATATTCATAGCACTAGTAAAAAATACATTTTCCCGCCAAATGAAATCAGGTAAGGCAGAGCCATCTAGTGTAGAGAAATTTCACAAAAAGTATAAAAAATGAGCACAGCATTTCCCCCATTTTTTGTTCATTTTTACCCGGCGCGAATGGGTTAAAGAAATTCAGAAAGGGAAAAATTGTTCCAGAGAATTGGCTCCTTTTTTTATAACGAGGTAATTATTTTTTATTTATATACCCCCCAAAAAATTGCTCTTTTTTTTTTTATAACAAGATATTTATTTTTATTTATATTCCAAAGAATTGTAAGATTGCAGTTTCAAATATCTTGCACAATCAATGCGACATATTTGCTGTATGCAATGGCATTAGTAAATCACGTATTGATGCAATAAGACGATGTTGCAAATTTTGACTCCCAGAATATAATAATATATAAATATAATAGGAATATATAATGATTTATAGTATTAAATAATGTTATAAATATAATATAAATATATGATATTAATTTATGATTTAAAATAATATCATAAATATATAATATTATATTATGATATTAGATAATATTATAAATATATTATAAATATAAATAATATTATAATATTTTAAATAGATCTATTTAAAATAGCAGTATTATAATATTATATTATAAGACTCTTTGGTGACTACTATAAATATTATAATGTAAATAGATTAGAAAGAAATTAACTGATTTATTATTATTATTATATTATTATAATTATTATCATTATAGTTATTACTATCATCTCAAATATGATTATCATTATTATAATCACTAGTACAATTGTCATTATTAATATTTAAGATGATCCTCGTCATTGTTGTAATCATAATAATGATTATTATTATTATTATTATTGTTGCTTATGTATTTTTTTTTTATGAATATCATTATCACTATTTATCACTATTATCACTCATTATCCTTATTATTACATATCATTTTGCTCTCCTTATCATCAAAGATATAACCATTATTATTATAATTATTGTTATTGTTTTTATTACATAATAAATATATATATATTATATATATATATATATATATATATATATATATATATATATATATTTATATTTTTATAAATATGTATATATATAT